ATGATCCATGATTTATATTATTAAGATGATAGAGGCATGTTCTTTCTATTAGCTAGATGGCCAAATTGTAAGAACTCGCACCGTTAATTAAGGTATTTAATTAACTAATTATGCAAAATTAGAAAATGATTCCATAATTGACCCTAATAATTATTAAGAGGCTTTAATAATTATGGTAAGTGATTAAGAATGTTGAAAGTCGCTTTTTGGAAGAAAAGTGCAGATACTGGTTCTGCTAGTTGGTATAATTGCGTACCGAAAAAGTATCCCGGAAAATTAAATTAAGTGCATGATAATTACTAGAATAATATGTAGGACTTGTAAAATGAGTTTCAAGTCCAAATAATGAGAACTAGTGCTAGAAACCGGTACTGGCTTTGAAAAGCGCGTACCAGAAAGGTGCTCAGAAAAATATAATAAAAATATGTTAATTCTTGGAAAAATGTGTAGTTTCAGAATCCAAAGTTTTGGATTAAAATGCTAAGCGTATCAATTAAAGTTAATACTGTGCGTTTTAATGAGTTTTGGCTATATATACCCTTTGTAAGGGCACAAAGCCCTAGAAAACTGATTTGCTGCGTGGCTTTTCTTGGAGGCTAACCAAAAATAGTGTTCTTAGGCTTCCTTCTCCATTTCTTGATCAAGTAATCACCTTTGATGCTTGTTCTTCCATTTAAACACTTGGTGAGGGTGAGGGTGAGGGTTGGCCTTGAGACTGCATTGTTGGCCTTTTTCTGAGTTAAAGAACCTGTGTGAGGGGGTTTGAACTGCTGAGTTTGGTGTTTGAAGGGTGAGAGTCTCATTCTTGACATTTTGATATTCAAAGTGTCACCTTTGTGAAGAAAAACCTATTCTTGATGGTGTCATTTTCGTGCACATCCTTGAGTCAGACTTGAGGGGCTGTGTTGAGCTCCAAGAGCATCTCCATTCTGAGTTTTGAGCCTTGGTATGTTGTACCACCCTTTGATCTTGAGTTTTATGCTTAAAAATGGAGGCTTGATGCATGTTAAGGTTAAAAGATGATAACTTGTTGTTGGGTAAGACTTAAAACACCTAGAAATGCATGTTTAAGTGTTTAAAATCGGTAAAAACCCAACCTTGAAGGATATCTTCACGAAATGCAGAAACTGCATTCTGTCGTGAAATATCCGGATATCTTCCCGTGGAATATCCGAATATTGGATATCCGGATATGATATCCGGATATGTGATATCCGGATATGTGATATCCGGATATGGAGTTTTGGGATATCTGGTTATTGAATATCCGGATATGTGAATTTGTATATCCGGATATTGCATATCCGGATATGGACAGTGAGATATCCGGATATTGCATATCCGGATATGGTCCCGAGGAATATCCGGATATTCTGGGATTTCGCAGAACAGTAGCTGTGTTGTGTGTACAGTAGGCTATTGGGGGTTTGTGGACCCTAGATTGATGAAGTTGAACTTCTGTGATTAATGGACTAAGCCAGAATCATGTGATTAAGGGCTTGTGGCTTTGTTAGAAGCTTTAAGACATAAAACGTAATGAGAAGGCGTTGTCTTTAATTTGTATGCATGTGGTACATGTTTATTAATTTATATTTGGTCCATATCAGATTGTGATCTGCTGTGATTGGACTTTGAGCTTGTGGCATTGGATAGCTAGCTTAGAGGTAAGCTTTCGTGTCCTCGGTTTAGCCATGTTGTGGTTCCACCATGTCCCATGGGGTATGGTATATGCATGATTTGTTACATGCTTTTGATGTTTTGGAAATGCTGTTGAGCTATTGTATGTTAGTGCCTTGTTGATATTCATGGAGGTGTTCCACTTATACGGTAAGCCTGAGTATGTAGAACATACAAAATGGTGAGGCTGTGGGTGAGGTGCAAGCGGTGTTCCTTGTACTACATGTAGGGAATAGACGTATTCCTACATTTCTCTGGCCAGTAGATGGTGATTACACACATGCCATAGATATCTGTTGCACTACATAGTTTTGGAACTGATAATGATATAAATGCTTTTAGAACTTATATTGCACATATAAGTGAGCTTAGGATGGAAGATCCTTGAGGACCCCTTGTCTTACTGAAATTTCTTGTTTAGAGATCTCACCCCACGTTTGGGGAATACTTATTTCAGGGTCAGGTAATGTTGAGACCTCAGACGGCAGGAGGCCGGAGCTGAGTTAGATTGCTGTTATATTATGCTGCCATGATTGGATGCTGGATTTGCATGCTGCTTGTATGCTTATAGATTCAGTTTATGTTTATGGAGTTTTATGTTGAGACTGGTTGTTTACTATGTTTATTTGGTGAGCATGGGGATTGTCCATGACACATAGTATTGTTATGTCTTGATTACGTCTTGAGTCTTTTGGAGTTGTATTAATGTATCAGGATATTGTCCGGATTACGAGATGTAATACTGTGATTTAGATACACACTTTATTTATATATTGAGGTATTTCAGTAGATGTCTTATTGCAATTTATATACAGGCATTATTTTATGAAATTGATTAAGTAATCTAGTTGGTAATTGATAATGACGTCATAATTGAAAAGAAAAAGAATATTCCGCATTTTTAATTAAGCACTGCTTAATACGATGTAATGTTAATATTCCGAGTATACACGGGGTGTTACACAAATAGCCAACACTTATGTATGTTATACCTTTGTTTGAGCCCCTTTGAGCCTAGGCCTATTTATTCTTTGAAAACCTGTATATGAATAGTCACTTTCCATACACATCCTTGCCTTAATTTAGATTGAATTTCAGACTTGCATTGAGGAATGGATATTAATTGTTATATTTTAGATGTTGTTACATGGGAAAATACATGTGAAAAAGGGCAAAAGCCAATGACAATGAGTTGGTTAGAAAGAAAAAGGAAAAGGAAAGGAGTGAGAATACTTGAGAAGGGAAAATAAAATCAAATGTGAAAGAAAAATTGAAAAAGAAAAAGAAATCTTTCAAAGAAAAAGAAAAATGCCTTGAAAAAGAGAAAAAGGAAATAGTGAAAAGAGTAAAGGAGTAAGAGTGGAAGAATAATAATAATTGTTTGCAATTTTGTCAAACATTTTTATTTATTCCTCTTCAAATCTAATCTTTAATATTAGAGCCACTTACCCAAAAAATTTCCTTCCTTTTAGCCAGACCAAGTTACAACCATAATAAAGACCTCTTGATCTGCTTTATAGGTCTTTAAGACTGTGGAGAGTGAGAATATGAGCAAGCCTATGGTAGTATTGATTCATGAAGGATGAGTGAAACATAAACCCTCAAACACTTGAGTGTGAATGAATTGAAAATCCTAGTGAGCAGTGTTTTAGCTTAATATTTCTATTCTTTGTATGATGAAGTCTTGTTACAATTATATGATTGATCGGATTGTGAATCTTGCTTGAATTGATGTATCATTTTATTTCAAGACTAAGTTTGAATACTCTTTGATCTTGTTGTTACTTGATTTTTTCCTGTTGAAATTCATTCAATTGAAGATTCCTACTCCCTATTCCCTTAGTTTTATTTTAGATGATTGTTGAGGAGTGTTCGTATATATGAAAGCCTTTCGACTTTATTAAATGTTTTTGCACTATGGTTTTGTTTTTGGGATTAATATTTGTCTTTTAAATGACATAAAATTGTATCATTTTATGTGAAAAATATGATATATAATGAAAATCATTTTGGAGAAAGTGAGAGAATTTTTTTTTTAATGTAATTAAGGACGGTCATTTTAGTTAAAATTAATTTTTTTATTTAATATTTAAATTAAAAAAACCTTTCTTTTTCTCTCACCATGATTTATGTTTCTCTTACTATAAAATACAGTAGTTGACTAAAATGACACAACTCTATACTCTTTAAAACGACAAATACTAATTCTTTTTTTAATTTAAATTTTAAATAAAAAACACTAGTATTAACTAAACTGACAATCCTTTAAAAGGATAAATATTTTTTATTTTTTTATTTTTTGCAACTCATTGTGTCATTTTAATGAACTACTGTGTTTTATGGTAAGAGAAACATAAATCATGGTGAGAGAAGATGAAAGGTTTTTTTAAATTTAAATATTAAATAAAAATATTAATTTTAAATAAAATAACTGTCTTTATATTTTTCCGAAAAAAAACTCTCTCTTTCTCTATCATGATTTTCATTATGTATTATTTTTTCTCACCTAAAATAATACAATTATATGTTGTTTTAGAGGACAAACATTAATCCCAAAATTTTGTGCAATACCACCTTGTTTCACCGGAGTTCCCATAGAAACCACTTGCAGCCACCCCCTTCAAGTTTGGACTATAGAAACTCAAGTACAACCTCACATTTTGTCCAGCTATACAGTGCATGAATAGATTTCAATTTTTCGCCATTACATCGCCATTCTGATTGTGATAAAAAAATTATAAATTAGGAAATACTATTAGTTTAGTGATAAAAAAATGGAATAACATAACTGCAACAATTTAAAAAAAGAACAATTTAAACAAATATGAAGAAGAGTTAATATGATTTTGGACCGTAGGTTGGGCAATACAACTTGGATTCGTGGCAAAGAAACCAATTGTAAAATACCAAGACCATATAATTACGTAATTTAAATAAATTTGTAGAAAATATCAATATAATTTCGGAAGGTTCGGTGGTGATATACTAAATAATATATGGGTTCATTAGCAAAGAAACAAAAATTGAAAAACTCAAGTTGCTAATGTGATACACTACAGGGCGTAGATGAGCCTTTTAACAAAACTGAACGATTGAGACAAAAAAATAGAATAGAATACAATTGACTGGCAGTTATTGGTAAACTTCACCAACAATAACCAGATGAGCTGCAATCCCTAGAGTTCGGAGTCAATTTTTAGGTTCCTTCATACCTATAAATATAAGCACATATGTGGGTGACAATTTGTTGGGACCAATAACGTCCAACCTTGAAGTTCAGTTTCTCTTCTACCCTGCATTTTAATCAGACCTTCGGTTGGTTCATGGCCCCATCCAATGAACCAACCAGCAATGGGGATGCAATTAACTGGTTCTTGTTCGACAACAATTGGTATTCATTTTATAGAAAACATTGCATGAATAGTAAACATGCATTTTGAATTTTTCCCATATGCTTTTCCATAACCAAAAAAATATTCTTATTGTTGAGGCTTTGCCAATTAGGAACACCAAACTTTCCATTGCATCTCTCTTTTATATGTCACGTGTTAGAAAATATTTCCTATAATTTTTTATTTTATTTTTTTGATGTAAAAACTTCTCCATTTCCATCATATATCTTGACTAAAACATATCATTAACTTATATATATCGTTAGCTTTCATGTTTCATGTTGTAACAATTGATAGTACCGAAGTAACCCAACTTGTGGCATATGGTTGTAGGGAGACTGAAGAGATGTATGCGAAGATGGATTGGGACAAACTTGGATATGATGTGATTCCAACCGATTATATGTACATAATGAAATCCAATGAAGACGGGACCTTTTCAAATGGAGCTCTCGTCCCTTTTGGAACCATTCAGATCAGCCCCCATTCTTCTGTTTTAAATTACGGACAGGTGAACCTATTGCTTTTAAATTGTATTCGTAAATTTTTTAGTGGAAGGGAAGGAAAGGAGTGAAAAGAGAGTGGAGGAGATAAAGGAAGAGTTTTTTTTCTTTCGGAAAATTAAAAAAAAAAGAGATAACTACCTTCTCCTTAATCTAAAACTCTAAATAAGGGTTTTGTCACTTTTCCCTCCGGTTTGACTCTTAGTAGATCCTAATATGCAAACATATAACGTCAGAATATAAAAAATATATATAATGAAAATTATTCAAATATCTATATTTTGTGACGGTCCAAATATTTATTGTAATGTTACCTATAGCAACTCCAAGATATTAGTATTACAATTGAAGAAACATATTATAATACAACTTTTCCTCTCTGTTAATTAAGAAGTGTTTAGTCACTAAAATAACATATTAACACATTAATATATATATTTGGAATTAGTAAAATTAAGAGATTAAAAACAAAAAGTAGCAAATAACTGAATATGATTTGGCGAGAGAGGCGTCGTAAAGTTTCTAGTTTTGATTCTCATAGTATATAATAAAAAAATAAAATAAAGAATAGCTATTGTGTTATAATATATACCTTTTTTAGGTGATTTTTAATAAAAAAGAATCACTAGCTAAATAAGCGATAACTTAGCCTTAGTAACTCATAAGCTAAATATTGCTTTATATCATTTGATTACCTTTGAGACTTTGATTAAAGGCAATGTTTTGACAAATTGTAAACATATATGATATATGCATGGAAATAGGGATTATTTGAGGGCATGAAGGCATCCAGAAGACAAGATGGTGAGGTGCAGATATTCCGACCTGAAGAGAATGCGCTTCGCATGCAGATGGGAGCAGAGAGGCTGCTAATGGTGTCACCTTCTGTTGAGCAGTATGTAGATGCTGTTAAACAAGTTGTCCGTGCAAATAAACGTTGGGTATGTATGTCTCCCCGAGAGAGATTTTGAATCCGATGTAAAAATAGGAAATCTTATTTCCCATTTCAATATCTCTGTACATTTAAAAGTATTAATTAATTAATAGATATTAATTTAATAAATTATAACTGTCAAATGCACGAATATTAACGGTTGAGACCAGAAGTAAGATTTTTTATTTTTACACTGTAATTTATTTATTTTTTATTTTTTTCTTGATCTTGAGTTTTAAGTTTTTTTATTGGAACTGCAGGTGCCTCCTCACGGAAAAGGAATTTTGTACGTTAGGCCTTTACTATTTGGAAGTGGATCTGTTATGGGTGTTGCGCCTGCACCACAATGTACCTTTTTAATATACACTAATCCAGCTAGCAACGGTTACAAGGTGAGCCATCTCCAGGTTTCAACATTGAATTTAAATTATGAATGTTAGTTTTATTAAGTCAACAAATAAACGAATATGATGATGAAAAGAGGTATTGATTGCCCAACATATTGACCGATGTTTCAGAATACGAGGTTTATAATTAAATCGAGAAAACTTAGCAGTTATATTATTAACAATTAGTTTTTTTCTTTATATTATTAATCACATAATTATAACATATATTGTTCATATGGACAGGGACGAACTGCAGCCTTGAACTTGTTGATTGATGATAAACTTCCTCGCGCGTTTCCTGGTGGGACTGGTGGAATAAAAAATATAAGCAATTATTCACCTGTAAGTTTATGTAATCAGCAAGATAAAATAATAGAAGTCAATTATTGGCATGAGATTAAAGAACAAGGATCCCATTTTCTTTTGGACAATTTAGTATTATATACCCACAAATTTTTTTAATAATATTCAAGTGCAGTATGTGTATTACACCAATACAAACATTTAATTAACATCATAGTGTATATATCGGTATTAAAGTAGCTACATATATAATAAATTACATGATGAATTCGAGCGACATTTTAACTTAAGTATTCTTATCTAAGCTATGATGTTTGGTTGACGTTCATGTCGCCATCTCAACGCAGGTTTTCCAAGTGGTAAAAGAAGCAAAAGCCAAAGGATTTTCTGATGTCCTATTTCTAGACGCAGCGGAACATAAATATGTTGAGGAGGTGTCTACTTGCAATGCTTTCATTGTTAAGGTAATGTTGTATGATATATAGTATTTAATTGTTACTTTTTTAAATCACAATTTCCATCAACATGCGTGTGATCAATCTGGCACACTTGTTCCACTTTTCCAACCACATATTCATAGATACATATATTTTGTAGGGTAAAGTGATTTCAACTGCACCTACACTCGGAACTATTCTTCCTGGAATTACAAGGAAAAGTATTATTCAACTTGCTGGTGATTTGGGTTACCAGGTGATTAATTACTCATTTTGAACATATAATTGTGAGAAGAAAAAAAAAAACTTTAAATATATTATTCATGGTAAACGGAGTTATAACACCCAAACGCAGAGTTTTTCATATAGGGCCCATGAAACATCGCTCAAGGCCTTCTATAAATGAAAAAAAATAATATTTACATTGTTGCTCAATTAACCTAATTTGGATGCTGGTTATAATTAATTTTAATATTATTACTGTAGCAAAATTACTTATAATTTTTTCCGTTAATTTTGCCAAGGTCAAGGAACGCAAAATTTCAGTAAAAGAATTGCTTAAAGCTGATGAGGTTTTCTGCACTGGAACTGCTGTTGGGATCTCTGAGGTTGGTAGTGTAACTTACAAGAATAAAAGGTAAAAAGCATTCAAATTCTTGCTTCTTTGTGTTCGTACTACATTAATAATAATAATAATAATAATAATAATTTGGTATTGTTTGTGAAGGGTTGAGTTCAAAACAGGAGCAGACACCGTGACCCAGAAGTTGTATGATTTGATTACAGGCATCCAAAATGGTCTAATGGAAGATAAGAAGGGATGGGTAGTCAAGATTGACTGAACTATTGGTTTTGAGTGTTGGTTCCAGCTCCATATAATTTCTTTTGTATTAAAATTATATTTAGTTTACGTATTCAAAAAAAAAATAAGTAAATAACAATCATTAGGATTGGTCTAGTGGAGGGGTTTTGGTAATTTATATTGGGAAAAATGTGTATCATTTTAAAGGATGTAAAGTTGTGTCATGTTAAGTGAAAAATAGAGATAGATAAAGGAGGAGAGATAGTGGACAAAAAAATATAAAGGTAGGAGTCTCACCTCTTTGTGAGAGTAAAATGACATAATTTGTGTCATTTAAAAAAACAAACACTTTTTCCATTTATATTATATTATGAGTTCAATTTTCATTATTGTATCAAAAATAAATAAATTAGTTTACCCGTGCTTTGTATGGATTATTTTAAACTTTAATCTATAAATATGAAGTTTCCCTTTAACGTTTTAGTACATGTTTAAAGTAGCATTTTGTCCTCTTTTATAGATATTAATAATCATAATTTTTTTTAAATTTAATGAAAAATATTTTTTATAAAATGAATAAATATTTCTAATTTTATAAAAAGTAATGGGGAGATTATATTAAAATTTTAATAATAATATTATACAATTTTATTTCATTTATTTGCAGCAATATTGAGCTATGTAAATAAATTTGTAAAATAAAAAGTGTAAAGGAGATATAAATAAAAGGATAGTTAAAGAATAATATAAACTATTAAAAAGGCTCTCACCTAACTGTCGCAATCGGATCGCGACGTGACGACGAAGGAAATTGAAGGTTAAAAACAATGGAGTCGCCACCAAGGTTTATTTGGGAAAACATTGGAAAAATCCTTTTTGTTTGAGAAAACTGGTCTTTAGAATAGAAAATGAATTCAGGAATCGATTACGAGTATGGAAGGTGTTAGCACCCTCCACCATCCGTTTAAAAAACGGTTATCTTATATTAATTGTGCAAACTATTGATAAGATTTTAATATTTTATTTCACCCTAAGAATTAAATAAAATTGATTAAAGAAAAGAAAACTAATTTTGTAAATTTATTTTTTGTGCTTGACGGGAAGTGTCCCGCTCCGACATATCCCTCGGTACAACAGAGAACTCAAAGTTACGTCATTCTGTAGAAAAATGTTTGTGTATTGATTGAATTTAATTTTTTGGAATAATTCATTTTAAAGAAAATCATTAGAAAGTTTTGGCTTTTGATGATTTATATTTATTTCAATAATTCTTATTTTTATTAGTATAAATTTTTTAATAAATTTTGAATCACCAAGCCGTCACGGCTAAAATGATTCAAAAGAGTATTGGGATTAACAAGCTGTCTCAACTCAGCTAATCCTTTTAAAAAAAATAGATTTAACATTATTATTTTTTATTATAAATTTTGAATTACCAAGCCGTCACGGCTAAAATGATTCAAAAGATTATGAGATTAACAAGCTGTCTCGACTCAGCTAATCCTTTTTAAAAAATAGATTTGACGTTATTATTTTTTAATTATAAATTTTATAATAAATTTTGAATCACCAAGCCGTCACGACTAAAATGATTCAAAAGATTATTGGAATTAACAAACCGTCACGATTAAATTATCCTCGGTCATTGGATGGATTTAAATTAAAACTCTATTGATTTATTTTCCATATTTTTATTTTGTTTTTCTTGTATTTTGTATTTTTTATTAATGCCGCATATAATGTATATCGTATCATAAACAAACAAGTACCTATAAACGAAGTGACAGAGGAGGCGATAACGTTTCAACCATTATATTTGCTTTATTTTTTTTAATTTTCAGAATATTTAAACCTATTTTGTCAACAAATAAATAAATACATACCCGATACAAAAAGATAACCAATTATTAACATGAATATGAAATATAAGGCAACACGGACCATTTGGTTATTTTGTTTTTCTTTATTATTTGTTTTAACATCAAGAGGAAAGGCTACCTAATCAGACCTGTATGCCTATATAAAGTCTCCAAATTAATTAACAAGATATTAAAACTAAACAAATAATTTTGAAAGACGTGACCAATTTCTTTCTGATGGGATGTGCACTGTATTTTATAAAGCAACAAGATCTTCTTATGCACAATTTAAAAAAAAAAAAGCATCAGATCATATTTCTAACTTATTTTTTTTATTTTAAATGTAATAAAGGATGACTAGTCTAATCAATCAATAGTAAGCTTCATGACAAGTTCACTTCTACTAGTCTAATAAAAAAATAAATAGGAACGATGGCCATATCATAACTACACCTTTTTTGGTTCAAGAAGAGATAAGTTTAGAAGAAAAAAAAAAAAAGAGAATAAAGCTTGTGTCTTGAAACTTGAATAAGGACACGGGTATAAAAAACGATAAAATATAATGAGTTGTGTATGAACACACTAACACAAAGGTAAGATCCTTGGGCAGTACATACCCTCTCCAAGCTCACGATCTTGATCGATGGTGTTGTGTAGTAGAAGGGTGCTCCGAAGCCTAGCGACCAACGATGCTTGCCGGTGGTGATGAACGGTGACCAATGGTGTGGCTTTGGTTGGTGGAGCTTTAGGCGACAGTGAGCAGCGACGGTCGACGGTGATCAGTGGTGCTTGGAGGCAGTGACCGATGGAATAACTTTGGTTGACGGTGGCCAACACTGTATGGCTTTGTTATTTTGGGTTTAAAAGTTTATCTTTTTGGGGTTTGTGGGTATTTTGGTTGAAAGAAGCTTGGACTCTGTTTACATCAGGTTTTTTTTGGTATTACACCATGAAGGAGATTGTGGGGTTGATGGAGGCTGAGGATGGAATCCTGGGATCGATCTTTTCTGTTTTTTTCCTTAGCTTTTTTTTTTTGGCTTCCCGCTCCTTCTCCCTCTGATGTTTTTAGCGTCTTCTTATAACCCAATACCTGTTCCGAGAGCCTGAAGTTGTGCAGCCTGTGCACAATGCACTGTCCCCTCCTTTGAGCAAAGATGCCATTTGACTAACTATTTTGGTATCGATCTCAGAAGCTCTTTTCTATATTCTTATTTATTTGCTTGCTACCACTTCCAGCTTAAGCATTAAATTTTTTTTGTTTGGGCGCCTGATTATTTAACCATCATACCCAAGACTTGTCGTTGTCTTCCTCTCTTCTAGGTGATATTGCTGGTTGCTTTTTTTTCTTTTTGAGTAAAGGAAAAAAATGTTAAATTAAATAAAGCAAAAAGAAAACAGACAAATATTAGTGTTTACAGTTACAACTTAAGTTTTTGGGTTGAATTGATGTTTTTCAGGTCTTCAGTGACCAGAGATCACGAGTTCGATTATTACCGCCTCCACTTTCAGGTGGAATTAAGAAAAACACAATGTAGACCAAAATTGGCTTGTGCAGTGGAAGACAGACCAAAGATGAACTTGTGTCATATCTACATTTCAAGCTTTAAGGGCTTTTGCATAACATTGTGTGTCAAAGAGATACAAAATAATTAATTAAGTCTCACTCAAACTTTAAGATTTTGGTATGAAGTGACGCTTATCAAGAATTAATGTTGATAGAAAAATTTATTAATGAATGAACCCACAACGGTAATAGATCACAAAATTTTTGAGATGGTGTGTCAAAGAGATACAAAATAATTAATTAAGTCTCACTCAAGTTTTAAGATTTTGAGATGAAGTGACGTTTATCAGAGATTAATGTTGATAGAAAAATTTTACGAATGAATGAACCCACGACCGTAATGGATCACAATAATCCGAATACGTTATTTAATTTCTTCAAGTTAAACATTACAAGATAGATGTAGTGCTTGTATATACTATACCTAAAAATTTGGGTGATTCATTCGATGAACTCATCATTAATAATATAACAAGTGCATATCTCATCAACAACTTGTCTTTTAACGATATTGTCAACGTTATTCTTGAAGAAAATCCAAAAAAAATGGATATGTTGAAAAATTCAAATTAAACAAAGTAAACGGAGGCTTTATCGACAACGAGGATGAAGGTGAATAAAGTCTAACTCAAGTGGGAGTCATAATTAGATAGAATTGATCAAAAGAGAAATTAAAGGAATAATTTCAAATGCTAGGAAGTATGGAACAAAAAGACACTTCAAGAAATATTTTTCAAATAAGAATACAAAGAAAACTTAAGAAATAATTACTTTACATGAATGTGTTGATAATGCCTCTATAAATTTCATGTATTGGAGTGATAATTAATTCTAAAGACGAAAAATAACTCATTAATTTTGGCTAATAGTGGATTCAAAAGCAACTTCAGACGTAACTTTAAAATTTTTTAAGAAATAAGAACCTAAATATAAATTTTTAAAATAGAAAAATTTGAAAAGACTATAAATATCTAAAGAATAATTTAACCCTTCAATTTTCGCTAGAAATAAATCTTGCTTACCTATTCTTGCACTTTACACACTGCTAAAAAATCAAGCTATGTTTACCAACAAAAAAAACAAAAAACAAAACTACTGCGATGGCATTTACGCCATCGTAAATTATGACAGGCACGCAATTCTGACCATCGCAAAAAATATGTCACAAATCGCGACGGCAATTGAGACGAGCATGTAATTTGCGACAGATGTTATTTTCATCGCAAATTTCAAGAAATTGCAACATAATTTTTTTGACGGCTATATCTGTCACAAATGTGTAGGGAAACCTTTTATGCCAATCAAAAGTTTTGCTATTAAAATTATGGATATTGATATATGGATATATAACACTCAAAAAGGGATAAGAATATGAGGTAAAGTGATGATGATCATGACAGTGAAGAAGATAGTGTATATAAACCACCCCAAATTGCAGTAAATATGATGATGACCATACTATATCATGAGATTTTGATGATGATCAATCAATATCGTGAGATTTTGATTGTCAGAAAATTATATTTCCTAATATATTTTTGGGCTACATATTGTATTAATAATTATATTATGCTATTTGATATATGTTGGGTAAATTAAAGTGATCAAATAAAGATG